TGCAGTGACTCAAGAGTTCCTTCCTGGAAATGCTGGCCAACTACCCTGGCGCTTGAAGCAGAAATCATAGTGCTCTCCTGCTGCTGCAATGCCTGCTCGAGACTCGCCACCACTTGAGCCATTGTAGGTCTTTTCTTGGGCTGGTGGTGCAAGCAGTTTTCAATAGATTTCACAAATTCTTTTAAACTGTTTGATGAGAACTTCCCCTGTAGACTAGGATCAACAATTCTATCCACGTTTTCTTCTGCAATACATTCACGGAAATATGATACAAGATTGTGCTGCTCTTCTGGAGTTCCATTGTCCACTGCAGGCCTCCCTGCCAAAACTACCAACAAGACAACCGCAAAGGCATATACGTCACTCTTTCTCGTCAATCTATGAGTTGCAATATAGTCTGGATCACAAAAACCACGAGTGCCTTTAACTTTTGTGCTAACATAGCTCTTCGATTGGGTTAACCTTTCAAGTTTGGACAGTCCGAAATCGGAAATCTTTGCCACAAAATTCTCGTCCAACAGAATGTTTGAATCCTTCACATCGCGGTGTATGACTCCATATTCAGTGCCATTGTGGAGGTATTCCAGCCCACGAGCAGCACCAATGCAGATTCTAAGCCTTTGCTCCCAACCAAGAGGAGCAATATCATTTCCCTTTCTGCTCATTTTGTAGAGATTATCAGCAAGTGTACCACGAGGGATATACTCATAAACTAGGATCATCTCCTGGCTCTCATTGCAATAGCCGATCAAAGAGACAAGATGTATGTGCCGGAGCTTCGAAAGTGTTTCAATTTCAGTCCAAAACTCGTGAGCTCCTTGTCGGGAGCTCCAGTGCAATCTTTTCAAGGCCACAATTTCTTGAATGGCAGGGATGTAAGCTTTATACACTTTGCCAAATCCCCCCCTTCCAATAACAAATGCATCGCTAAAGTTTTGTGTTGCCGAAACTATCTCAGCGAGTGAGAAGCAACGACAAGCCCGCTCAGCTGTGGCTGCCACTGTGTCATTTTCCAGGCAAAATTTTGCTTCCCAAATTCTTCTGAGGTAGTACACTAGGACATTGACTAAAATAACCAGGAGTGTCATACCAGTCGTGGCAACATTGCTATGGCCAAAGGCTAAAAACAAGTTTCTAATCTTCACGCCTGAATGGGTAGAAACTGTCATTGGAGTCGTAGGATTTGAAATTGCTAGACTGTTTTCGAGGTTGCTCAACTTGAAGATCTCGAGTCCATTAAGGAGTCCAAAAACCAATTCATTAGCTGATTGTAGGGCAATCAAGAGATCACAACTGCTACCACCTTGGTCACCTTTCATTTTGACCATGTAATCCCGGTATACTGGAACCCCATGGCCGCCACTCCATCTAATCACATCAGCCTTTGTCTCTGCTATCTGATTATTTATAAGGAGACTGAATTCCCTTAACTCACGCTGTGCCATTTCATCATCAAGATCACAGAAGTGAAGCCTTATTAAGTATCCAAAGCCCAATTCTACGGGTATTTTCCATGTAAAGTAATATATCTGGTCTACTTTCAAGTTTCCTCCTGTTTTCCAAGAGGTCTGGTAAAGTTTTGCCGGGGCAACAAATGCTGGCATGTTTGTAGTATATTTAATCCTAAGTGCTGGATGATGAACTCGATGAGCACTGGATTCTACCAGGTACTTAGTGTCCTCATTCCATCTTCGAAACATTCCAAAATCTTCTGCTGATGACACAGAGCTCCCTCCAATGTTCAACCTCTGTATGACTTCAAGCGCAGTGCTATTGTCAATACTAAAGAATCGATTTTTCTGACCAACTATAGGGGCTCCTGAGTCACGATCAGAGGTGTAATAAAGTCCAGCTGGCATTGAAATGATCTCAATGCCATTTACAAAAGCATATGTACTTTTTGACTTGCTATTCAGATTCAGAGAAGGAGAAAATGTTATGTTCAATTTTGTATTTTCTTCTACATTCAGACAGAACTCCTTAATAAGGTACTTGACACCTGAAGTTTCAGCAGTAATTGAAGCACTGAAATCCCTGAGGAGGGTAAAAGGGCCAGCTTTGACAGTGAAAGAATCTATAGAATTTTCAAAACCGCGATATGAGGCAGGGTAAAGATGTAGGCGAATGAATTTCTGACCTGGACTGACTTCAAATGAATAGCCGAATTCAGTTGCAGAGACTCTTGAAGTCTTGTACGGAACAGGGTCAATTGGGAATGGTTTTTCAGCTGCAGTTGAGATTCTTGATTTGCCAGACAGGAACTTTAAGGGGGCATCTCCAATCCATTCACGGCCATCAAGTGCGGTTGAATTGCCATTAAAGCCACAGTTAATAGCAGCATCACTTATGTAATGTACAGCAGCTGCTGGAGGATTAGCACTCCTCATGAAAGCTATAAAATGGTGATGACAGAGCAAGAAGACGAACGACGTAAACAAACTAGCAACCAAAACTAGTTTAAGATGCATAGCTTCTCGTGGTTGATCAATAGCTCTCCTTTCACCTTTTTTGTTATCTGTCCAGACGATGATTTCGCTGAGAGTAAAGAGGAAATCTTGCTGCTGTGGTGGCTTTTCCAATTTCTTCTTGGTTGATTATTTCACAGCAGTCAAGACTTCATTGGGAAAATTTAGCACAATTGGCCAGTCGCAGGATCCATTAATGCTGGCATAGACTCGGTTGACCTGAAGGTCAATGATGAAGAAGATCATAAACACAAAAATATTACTAGAAAGGAAAAGTGAGACAAAACGTAATAATAGACATTACAGAAGAAAGATATTGAATTCTGAACGATGTTAGTCAATGTGAATCAAGGTAAACATATATGGAATAACTATTGGAAATTTTCTTGGTGTGTGTCTGTATTCCTTGTATTCTACTAGTCATTTGAACGTTAAATGGCGAGACTCAGCCCATCAAAATACAGGAGTTTATTATTCTACGAGGGACACATATGCGCAGCTTGGATGGAAGAAGTGTAGAAATATTAGAGTAGACCATAATACATATTTGGAACTGGTCAAAGAAAAGATGAAGAAATGGTTAAACAAATACAAAGTCGACTTTCAAGTCCAAGAAAGGATCCCCACATGAATTAGAGGGTTGTATAACGACATTTGTCAATTTTGAATACAAAAATTACAAAACATAGTCTATAATCTAGTTAGATATTAGTAATTTTTTTTTTGATAAATTATCTGTTATCCCTAGTGATTTAGTACTTTACTATATAATTTCTTATGATTTAAAAACCCATATATAATCTTCTCTTAGTTTAGGTTAAAATATCACCTTTTAACTTTTCCATTAAAACTAACAGCCAACAATAAAAATTCAAAGTTAAACTATTAAATTAATAAATTCACCCTTTCACTATTTTTTTCCTTTTATTTCTCTCTTTCTTTTGGAAAAGAAAATATGATTTTGAAAAATTATATTTTGACCTACAAAATCTTAATTTTCTCCAAATATAAAAGAGATAAAAGGGAAATAATACAGCAATTTAGGAATTAGGCTCCATTTGGATTAGCCTTTTTTTAAAAAACAAGTTTTTCAAATATAATGTTATGGCAATACACAATAACTCAAAAAACATCTCATCTATACAATATATCAAATATTTCAAAAAATTTTATAATAAAAATTTTTCATATACACTGCTACAGTAAAAATTTTTCAAAAAACACCCCCTAGAAAATCAAGAAGGAAATTATAAACTTGAGTTGCGGACGCATTTGTAGGTAATTAGGACTATAAATTCATGAATCCATGCACAAAATTAACGCCTGTTTTATCTTTTACTTTTTGTTAGCTTCAATTACTCATTTAGAATTCTCTTGTTCAACGCTTTAGCAATGGTAATTTTAGTTTACTAACATTAAAAGAGGGAAGGGACAACGCCAGCCACAGCCACTTGCCATTAGTAGAATTTACCGAGTGCGTGTCTGCCTGCTGATTTCATTCAATTTGTCCGACCATTGAACAAGTTTCAGTGCTGCTTTTTGTTATCTAACCAAATGATACAGGCTGGGAGGAGGAAGAACTGAGAGCAGAATAGCCAGATGATGAAATCAGTTGACGGGCTCGCCTCTTTCTTGCCCCCGCTAACGCTAACCCCAGCCTCCACTCTCTCCTCCTCCAAACCATCTTGTATTACGCCCTCTTCTTCTACTACTGTTCTTCCCTTTAATTTCCGCAACTCCTTTCCCTTAAAATCCCACAGCCCACAATTTAATCTCCGCAAGAAATTCTTGCTTTTGATCCGGGCGTCAGATGACAACAAAAGTAATAACGGGGAAGACAGTAGCAATCCATTGAGCAAGGAAGGGTTGAGCAAGGAAGGGCTCAAAGATGATAATAATACTAACAGCAACGGAATCGATGGTGATAATGGCGGTGAGAATGGGAAGAACGGGAATGGGAATGGACGGGGGCCGAGATTGAATCTGAAATGGGTTGATCTGCTGTTGAACCCAGACCCGGATAACGTCGTGGCGGTTGGATTGACTGGGGTGTTAGCCTGGGCAAGCGTGCAGGTGCTGTGGCAGCTGTTTGTGATTTCAATAGCAATCGTGCTGGCAGCTCTCAAGTACTCCTTCATTGCTGCCCTCCTCATCTTCATCCTCATTACCCTCCTTTAGTACTATTAGTGTACCCTTCTTCTCCTCCAGAAGTTTTCATTTCTCGCTTCGGCTTTTGCACTTCTTTTTGTGGATATAACAGATTGTTGATTAACGTATTTTGCAGATGTAATGTTGAAAAACTACCTTTTCTGTTCCCTTGTTCTTACTTAGACCAATGCGTATGTAAAAGATCTGAATGAACTTGCAAATGAATTGCCAATCCTGTAGTGGATTTTTTTTTTTTTTTTTTAGATGTGTTGTACACCTGTACTAGTTGTATAAAGTAGGGTAATCAACCATATACAGATACACTGCTACTAGCTAATTCTTTTGCAGTTTCGATCACTATATCAAGTTCAGTTAACCTTAATAAATGTAGAATAGAACTATTGATAATGTATCAGAAAAGACATGAATATGAAACCACCGAGGCAAACAGAAAAATACTGCAGATGCAAAAAGAGATTTTGCATTTGCATAACAGGAGAACTCAAACTATAACACTGGTCCTATACAGGGTCATGCTACTCCAAGTTACATACCAAAAAGCCAGTATGCAACTTATTTCACATCAAAAGGGATATCTCTATATGAAGTTCATTCTCTAAAGGTCAGTGATGCATTATCTTCCCCATGCCCTCTCCTTCCGAAAGTACCATAGCAGTTTGCTCTTGAAATGCCAGATAATGCACCCTTTAAGAAAAATATAAAACCCAAGGAGAACATTCTATTACCATAAAGCAAAGTTTTGGAAGCTGAAAGTGCCTTCACTGCACTCTGAAAAGAATCAGTTGTATTATCATCAAATATGGAATTCAATTGATACATTCTGTGCCTTGAAGTCGGTCTCCTTTGGCATTTCTGCACCTATTAAAATGCACCGAAACACCTCCTGTCCACACTTACAACGACCAAGGCAGGAAATAATCATGAAGCTTTCGTCACTTCCACAATTGTAAAGAAAATGAGGAATCCCAAGTCAGTTCTTGAATCTGGTTTATCTTGAAGGACTAGTTAGATAGAAGCTTCAAAGTGCTATCTTAACTACAAATTAGCAGCAACCTTTTGTAATTTCCTTGAGAATCACCATTGATTCTTGAACCTTGCTGTCCTCAATGACTAAATACAAAGTGTCGATATATCTTAATCATATAGCTACCCAAACCTTTTAGATTTTCCTGACAGAATTCATATAAGATCCGTGGATACTCGCTTCTAGCTTCTGGTGGAAAGAGTTCTCAAAATCACTAGGAGCTGTCCTCATTTTCGACAACCGCGAGGCAGCAAGAACCATATTCTCCCCATTTCCAACGTCAATTTCATATAACTCCTCAAAAACCTCATGAAACTCAGTAACCACCCTCGCATAGAATGACTTGCTGGCAGGAATCACATTAATAATGAGAACACCACGCTGACAGATAATTTCTTTAGCCACCAAAAGAACAGACTTTCTGACAAAATCCAAAGGCGGTGCGCTAGTGCCCATTCTAGCATCACTTGAATCCAAATCAACCATAGCCACATCAAACTTACTATCAACATCACCTTGTCCTTTCAATGCAAGCCTCTGCATCAATTCCATTCCATCACCAACGCATAAATGAACCGATTCACTGTGTCTCAACCCAAAATACTTCTTCGCGACGCTTAAGACAACCTCATCTTCCTCCACACCCACAACGTCAAAACCTAATTGATCACTCAAAAATCTGAGCAAGGCCCCTCCTCCAACCCCCAAACACAGAGCTCTAGGCCTAATCCCGCATCGGATTTGCTCATCCAAATACGAACTAATCACCACCAGACCTGCCACCATTGGATTCAGATAAGGTTGGACCAATACTCCATTATCCACCGTAAACTCTACCCCCTCCAATTCATCACCCACGACACCCAATTCACTGATCGGATGAATCCTGACCTGGCTTTGAATTAAATTCGGCATCCTCTTAAACCTCAACCTTCTTCTAAACTCCCTACCCTTGTTATTTTTGTTACTTTCCGAGTCCAGCACAACATTTTCTATTAGCATTTCACCTACACAAGGCCCAACACAAATTTCTAACACTAGACTACTTATCACCTCATCTTCGTAACTCAAGAAGGGTATTTCTGGAAAGCCATTGCTCCGGTCAAAGGCCGATTTGGGTGTCAAAGCCAGTAGCAGTGGCAATAGATTTTCTTCAATTGTTGTTGTTGTTGATGGGTTTTCGGTGGTTGTGGACAAGGGTGGAGCTTTATAGGAGGTGGGGTGGGAGGGATTATTAATATCATTGTTGGAGATTAAAATGAGGCGGGAAAGATAGGGAAAGGAGAGGAGGAGCTGGAGGTGGCCGGTTTCGGTAGAGAACGTCCAGTCTTGTTCGCGTCTGGGTGGGACTAACATGGCCGCAACTCGAGGGGTAGTGCTTATGGGGGAGGGGGAGTCGAGGACGGCGATGCGGAGGAGAGAGGTGTGGAGAAGATGGCTGCAATGGGGAAGAGCGGGAAGGAAGAGTGGGTTGGGAAAAGTGAAGGTGATGTATCGAGAAGGGACTATGGTTTGGAAGGTGGTTGGGTCCAGCACAGACATTTTTGATGCAGAGAAATTTCCCAGACTTTAATCAGGCGGTCTTTGGGAGAATCTGGGTCCGTTCGCGAGAGAGAGAGAGAGAGAGAGAGAGAAGGCGGACTTCCTTTTTGCAGTTGGACCAATTTTCACTCCAACAACAGTTGATGAATTGTCATCTAGATGTTTTCATATTCAGCAACAAGCAGATTCTTGTTTCTCGTTTTTCAGTATCAGATGTGAAAAATTTGACAAGCCATGGTAATTCGTTGGCGTCCCTAACTCAGGCTAGACCCGGTAATAATTCTGACAAACCGAAATTAGAAATTTTTGCAGTGTTTAGCGTTTGATCTCTAGCCGGGACATTTACTGAAGTAATATCTACGCTGTGTTTGCCTACACCAGTGCAAACATGAAGCCTGTGCTTATGTTTATTTGCGGAAATGATTTCACAATCCAAGATTTGTCACATAAACTGATGTTATGTAACTGTTGTAGAAGTTATCATTCGAAGAAAGCCAAGTAACTAACATTGGACAGGAAATTATTAGAGATATTTTTTTGGAAAATACTATAGCTGAAAAAGGGGCTCTACTATTAACGGGCGAGGTAACCCCCAAAACTGGAGGCTGGCAAATTCGGGGGTGACCGATCTTAGGGTGGCGTTTTATGTACCGTGAATGACACACTTCAATTATTGCCGATGATCCGTCCAAACAAACAAGTATGACAAAGGCATCCCTACACATGCCACTCGTGGTCAGAATAGAGCCTGGATCCTAAAAATAATAATAACAGTAGTGTATTTGGATAGCTCAAATTTGTTAAATAATATTTTAAATAACACACTCTATCCAAATAAGTAAATAATCATATGAAATAAAGCACTTCAATAAGATCCCATACCTAGAGCTATTGAATTTCATTCGCCTTTTTTCTTATTTTAGATGAAAATAAATTTTGAATCATTAATAAATTCATATATTCTATTTTAGAATCGAAATAATTTTATATTTCAATTTAGGGTTCATCAACCCTTTTTTTTTTCGAAAAAGGGGGATATCACAACAAATGACGAGAAGACATTGGAACTTCAATTTAGTCGAGATGATGGAGGCTGAGGTTCATTTTGGCCATGGTACTAAAATGAAATCCTAAAATGATATATGTGAGATAAAAATATATTGATGATACAAGCAAATCAATGTATGTGAATAAGATGTAAATAATGTCAATAGAGATGAATCTATGCCAAAATCGTGGTGCTCAAATTCAGCAACCAAAATCACCATAGGGGTAATCACTTGTAGCAACGAAATTAGAACTACAAAATTCTGACTTCAGTCCCTTCAGCATGAAACATAAATTTGTCAAGACTCTCTTGTTGAAAACAAAAAAATACTTATTTTAATAGAGACACATAAAACTCCACATCCGTATTTTGCGACTTGGGCCATCCTATGCCAGAAGCCCCTCAGCATAAGCACCTACCATGCCAAAATTCAGCAGCCAACCAACCTCAAAGCTCAAACTTAGGCTTCATTTTCGATCAAAAGAATGAAATATGCTTGCAAAGGCACACCTCATTCTGCACAAAGCCCTACTCTACGTCAAATCTAATCTTCTTTGGAGCTGACTGGTTGCCACCAACCTTCAATGAACAGAAAATCAAAGCAAATTATACAGTCGAGAAATTTGGCAATACAAGACATCAGCTTTGTTCAGGTTTGGGTACAAGACTCAAGCCGCTTGATGCCATCAAAATTTCATATTTGCAAAAGTGCCCGAAAAGCCACAAGGATAACAATCCTTCACCATATAGAATTTCTACAAAAGGCTCATTCTTAACAATTTTCATAACTTCTACTTGTGGTAAAGCATTAAACATGATCCGCAGCAGTATACTAGATAACAAATGGATGTATATTCTTACAATTTCTGGGCACTCGTAATCAATACCAGCTGCTTCAATCCTCTTCCGCCTTCTCTGGTCCCGTTTCATTATACCTTCAACCAACTTCCTGTGCTCTGCCAACGTTCTTTCCTGAGTAAACATAATAGAGCTGTGGGGTTATCCTTAAAAAATGAAACCAAAATACAAATTAATGCAGAATTGCAATCTCATTTTACCCATTTATCGAACATTTCAAAAATATTCCTAATAACTGTATGCCCACACATGCTTTACCTTGTCATGGTGCTTCCGCTCAACTCTAACCCAATCCAAGGGCTTGTACCAGCGGTTGACACCTTTCCACCTAGAAATCAGAAAATGATTATTGTCCATTAGGGAATCATAGTTCCCAGTTAAAGCACATCCCCATTCCTAAATGGTCTTTGGATATACAGGTGCTCAAGGACCTCAGAACCATGAATGTTCCACAAAATACAATCATAATTTCATCAAATTTGAAACTTGTTTAAAGGTCATTAAAGACAAGCTAAAAAGTACATGGCATTACTTTCACATAAAAGAAAAGAAATAGAAAAAACAAAAATCTCTGTCACTCATCCATAAAAGAAATGGCATGAATTACAGGTAACAGACAAAAAGCCCTCATACTCACTTCTCCCTGGTGTGTTTCAGATTTTTTTTTTTTTGGGGGTTAAAACTAATCTGCAGATGATATTCATCCTCAAACCAAACATCTAAATCTCTTCCTGCAGGAATCAGTCTAACCACAGATTTAACCATATTAAATTTCCCCCAAAGCAAGAGTAGTGCATTTACACTGGATTAAAATCCAAAAGCAACATGAACCTAAAAGTTCTGGCTCGTGTCATACATAAGGAGTGATGAGGCAGGACCCCCTAGCAAGGTTACAAAGAAAGAAAAGAGGAGAATAAACAATAAAACTTAGAAAAGAACACAAATTTTGACTTTTCAAAGCATCATGGAGCTCATTATCTATAGGTCTCAAAAGATGCTGCAACTCAATTCTTTACTTTAAACTGAATGCATAAATTGCAAAAACTGAGGATATCTAAACTTACAGTATAGAGCAAAAACTATAACTCACAATAACACTCCTACCAATGTTTATTCAACTCACAATTAGAACGTGTCCTAGACATCACCCACCGTCAACCAAAGCAAACATGTAGTCCAGTTGACACCTCATTTATGTCCTCAAAACATTTTTGCCAGAATAACACCCCCCCCCAGCGCACCTAGCGCAGGGATCTTCTTGTTGTGACAGCACCAAGTCCTATGATATTGAACCGTAATAACCACCAGATTAGTCATTCTAGGGTGGAATCCACAACAGATAAATGATCTCCAAACTATATATTTGTGGTATTTACCGAGGCACACGTGTGAAAACGTAACTGTTTTTGAAGCAACACACCCATATTGCCCACTTCTTCCTCCAATTACTTCTTGCCTCTAAAGTTTATCACCTCACCTAGTATGGGCTTCTACCATCCGATGCAAATCACGGGTTCTGTCATATAAGCTTCAGATAACATCTACTCATGTGCATTCATATGTTCCCTCACATCTTGAAAGCAATTATAATAATAGGAGAACATGGTTTCCATCAATTCATCTCCTCAAAGGAGGAAAACAAGATGCTCTAACAGATACTCCACTACAATCAAAGGTTTACATAACTATGAACAAAACATGTTACATAAGTATATGAGGGTACAAGAAAGAAAATAGGTAGCTTACAGCCGTGGATGGACGCGTTCTGCAGGAATGAGATGAACTTGTAGCAAGTGCTCAAATAAAAGATAGTTATGCATACAGTCAGCCACAACTTTTGCAACCTGCTTATGTGAAAATTCACCCAAAATGCGAACATATTAGAAGAAAATCCTAATTCAATTAACATTTGCTAATCATATAAAAAGAGTAGGACCTCTGGAGACTCGAACTCTATGAACCCAAAATGTTTTGATTTTCCTGTCTGTCAAGCAGAACGAGAAAGGCTCAGATCAGCAAAATCATATCAAAAGAAAAATAAAATCTGATTTCAAATTCATTGTGTAGAAATAAACATGCTTAGAGCTACAATTGCTTTTTTTCAAGACTTTACAAGGTAGCATCAAGTTTGTAAACCTTTCTAGGTAAACATTTAGACTTCATTATCACAGGTAATGAAGATTGTATTTTGCCCTATCATCAAGCAGAATAGGATGCATGAGTTGTGAATGCATATCAATGCTCAAACCACAAAATCTAGATAGCTTTATTCAAACAATCATGTCAATAACTGCACATATGGTCCTTATGGGACTTGTTGAAAATTTTGACTACTACTTGTCCCCAGACAGATCAAATTCCCAAAGAGAGCCCGAAAACAGTACCCAGCAGAGAGAAAAAGGAGGAAAGGGGGAGAGAGCTGTGGATGCTGCAGGCAAATTTGACATGGTTTATCTTGTCTCTGATAAGTTACCACTCTACTTTAACCACAGTTAAAAATTAGTGCTGTCATTTGCCATTGATTGCTCATATGTCAAGCTTAGGCAGCATTACAACTATTAATAGCTCTTCGAACTACACAAGTTCACTCTAATTTACCTAGTCTAAGATTTCATTGCAACGTTGAGATGCTTAAATTTGTTTTCCACTATGAATCGCATTTTCTTGCACAAGTTCAGCTATCAGCTTTTTAAAATCAAGCTTCAGATCAACATCCAATATCACTGAAAAAAATAAAAGAAAATGGCAAAAACTACATAATTTAGCAGCCTAACCTTCTTATTTCGAGCAATTCTCAGCCTCTTTATTGCACCAAATTGCTTGAAAAAACCTGCAGATCATCAGCAACATCCCCACACAAAAACAAATTAATCCCTTCATACTTTAGCAATATTTCGTACATATGCAAAGCATACACAGTTCAAACTAGGAAACCAACGTGTAGAAGAACAACATAGATTACATACCTTCCATTTCATTCTCATAGAAACCATGTGGAATTCTCCCAATATACAAGACTGTAGCTTTATTTTCCCTTACTTCACCTTGCGGAATCCTCCGCCCTGGGCCACCTTCCAATGGCTATTTTCCAAACAAATACAATCATACATATGCACAAAATAAACAAGCAACACATATTTACATAACTACATATTCCATAAAAACAGAGTTGAAGTTAAGTTTTATACCAAAAAATCAGGAGCTTCATCATTGGAGAGCGAAGAAGCAGCAGGTAATTGAGCTGAACCCTTCTTCAGCTTCTTCACCATAGCTTTCTTCTTTGCTGCCTTTGCCCCCATCTCACTGTTAATATACCAATGAACCAAGTTAATCAACACCGCAAACAACAGTAGAACCCTATCCTTCTACAACTAATATCTATTTATAGGCAAACGAGTAATTGAAGTAGAATCAAATATTACTATAATAGCGCCAGAGAGAGAGAACTAAAAATTCAAAAATTTTACCGCTTGGAGATTGGCAAATACCTTTACTTCTGCTCACGGAGGAAGAGAGTGGCGTGGTGGTAGGAGGAGGTGGTGGTGGTGGCTGATGTCTGATGTCTGAACAGACGCGGCGGGAGAGGCCAGGGCTTAGGTTGCAGGGTGTATATTCGAATGGGAGTACAAACTATAAAGGTTAATTGCCCAGAAGACCTCGGCCCGGCTCAAGAGCCCCGGGCCTGGCTCAGGAGCCCCACTTTCAGGTGTTTCCATCTTTTTCCCCATATGTTCTGCAAAAATCCAAATTAGCCCTTTATTTTTTGTTTATTTTATGATTGTGTTGTGATCTATGTTTTAGCTCCGTTTGGATTAACCCTTTTTATGTATTTTTTTAAATATTTTTCTGTACCAGTGTATATGAAAAACTTTTATTATAAATGCTTATTATTGTTTTTGAAAGAGTTTTTGGAATATATTTTGGAATAATTTTTAAAATTAAAATATTTTTAGAGTACTAATACCACCCCAACCACTACCCCTCCTTCCTCCTCCCTCGCCTGCCTCCTCCTCTCCCCCCTCAATATGGTCGCAGCCAAATCGCTACCAAAATGTAGCAACCAGATTGCGACCAAAGGCCTCGATCTAGTCTTGACCAAATCGAGGAAGGGCGACGGGAGGGCCAAAAGGTGGGAGGGAAGGGGAGGAGACAAAGAAGAGAGGAGGAAAAGGGAAGGAAAGAGGGAGGAGAGGAAGGAGCAAGAGGGACGGAGAAAAGAAAGGAGGAGGGAAGGGGTGGTGACAGTGGTGGATGGGGGTAGTGGCAGTAGTGGTGAGTGGTGGTGGTGATAGATGGAAAATATTGTAAAATTTATTTTTTAAAAATTTTTTTGGTATATTTGTGAGTTATTTTTGATATATTGTATGAATGAGATGTTTTTTAAGTTAATTTTGTTTGTGTATTAGGGAGGGAAAAGAGAAAAAATGAGGAAAGGGGCGGTGGCTGTGGTGGGTAAGGGTAGTGGTGGTGGTGGTGATAGATGGAAAATGTTGTAAATTTTATTTTTTTTGTTTATATTTGTGAGTTGCTTTTGATATATTGTATGAATTAGTTTTTTTTAAAAATTATTTTTATTTGTGTATTACTGTAACATTGTATTTGAAAATTTTATTTTTGAAAAATAGGCCAATCCAAATAGAGAGAAAATAAAAAAAAATAGTTAGAAATTTAGAATCGTATTATAATGTAATAAGTAAAATTTTTTTAATAATACTGTATTCAAACACCCTTATATATGTAATCGCAATGAATAGGTTTGGTTATTAGTCAATGAAATTAGTCATTTCTGGATATATTATCAAGCAAAAAGCTCTAAAATCTTTCTGTTTTTCCCTTCTAGCAAATTTTGGAATTTTTGCTTAATATGATAACGTGTTCAAGTTTAAAGATACGTGTTACTGTATTTATTATAGTTTCCATCTTCATGACAAGTTGCAAGGAAAGCCTAGTTTTTGATATGGCTATGGTGGCTAAAAAATTTAGAAGAAGCCTAGTTTTTTATTTTCTCATTTAAACAAAAAATTTTCAGCTCAATATATATATATTTTTTGTTGTGTTGGGGGGGGGGGGGGGGGAATCTTTCGTCTGTTCAACCACGTTTATCAAGAAAAGGTACTCAAATATTCCAGCTATAAGTAGAGTTTGATGATCAAAATTACCAATCATCCTCATAACTTGCTATTACGTGTTAACCATCTGCTATTCTTTTGATCATCCACATTGACTTGCACACTTCTAACACATTCATAAGGCTAAATTTTACTCTTGAGATTTGATGTACAATTGGTTCCACCGTCAAGAAACACATACAACAATTTATGCAGCATAAGCACACGTCTTGCTTCAATTATATACTGATGATTTCCTATGTTTAGGGCAACAAAATTTGGTGAACATATTACATATTTATGGAGTAATACAAAATATATGGTAACCTCATTGCATTACCATATATTTTTGGTAATCGCATGGATAAAAATTGAGGAAAAACGTTTGTATCTCATATGAGTTGAGCAGGTGTTTCTGTCGAGGTCAAGCCAGAGTATATTAATCTTTGATTTCTTATTTGGTGATCTCAACGCATCAAATACTATACATATTTACCTATGCCCTTTGCCTGTAATTTGATTCCACATTTCAGGTACTTTTTAATTAAACAAAAATCAGGTATATTTAATCTTTGGTTTCTTAACTCAGGTACCTTTTTTCTAGTATCTATATGTTGTTTGAATGTACTTTTTCTTTATTATTTATAGTTACTGTGCTCTATTAGTTTCGTTGACATCAAATCCTTGATTCATTTCAATCCGAATATGTAGCTCTTTGGGGAGAAAAAAAAAACTACAATTTTTCCCTGTGCTTTAGTTGTTCATAATAATGCTAAATAGAGGGCTGCACAGAACCGATTTTTATCCGCTGATTTTAGAGGAAATGCTATCCAGTTACCCTCCTCGTAGTCAGTAGCATGGAAAGCCAAGCCAATGCATGGAAAAATCAAAGGAGCCGATTAGTAGCTGCTGATAGAAATCATATATAACCAACTTTTCTTAGATTTGACTCAAAGATGATCTAACAAAAATCAAAATCAAGGTTGATTGGCTCGCAAATAAACAATCATTTTGAGGAAAATCATGGAGACAAATTGGTATGTGGTTTGTGTTGCTTAGTTTGTAGTTGTTAGTGGATGATCTTTCAATTCTTGATTGTGGAACAGCACAAAGCACTAGTAATTAGTTCCAACACCATCACTCTTGATGAAGGCAGTACTAAGTACTTGTACAGAAACTGACTTGATCATATGATTCATGTCCTATCAAACATCTCAACATTTACTTGAATCCACAGTGATTCCGATATAGCTGTATGGGGATCTGATCGGAAAAATGGGCATGATCAACTGTTCAGTTCTAACAATTTTGAAGGTAGATAGTGGGGTTTGGACCACCAAGGCAAGTTTTTTTTTTTAAAAAAAAAAATGTCTAGATCAATTTTCAAACAGAAATCCAAGAAACATATGGCTCTTGCATAATTTTGTAACGAATTTGGCATGTTAAATTCTGTAGCGAAGATCAATCGTTATAGTGTCCCAGAAGCACTAACAAAATGTATAACCTAAGTCGGTGTTGTTTTAATTAAAACTGTGTGTATTTCTGCAAGCAAAAAAGAAACAATAGTAACCCACCTTCTTGTGAGTTTCCTAGATTTGCATAATCAATAATGTTTGTGAAGATAATTAAATTAGTAGTGCCACCTCAACTTGGATTGTTCATTGCATCTCATGTACAGTCATTCCTTTTTAAAAAAAAAAAAAAAAATCTATTGAGAAACACAGAAAACAAAAAAAAATGTAATAAATACAGCAATATCGTGAATTCTAATATTAAATTGAGCTTTCATTTGAGAGGAGAAGCCAAATCTAGAACTAAATCTCAAAATCTTGAATTCTAATGTTAAATTGAGCTTTCATTCAAGAGGGGAAGCCAAATCTAGAACTAAATCTCCAGTCCTACCATGCAACGCAATGACCCGAAAACATTCAAGAACACATGTATTAAAAATGTTGGAATTGATATGGTGTATCATAAAAATTTTGTGCTAAATGAATTAAGGGTATACATTCAAGAAACCGGCGAGCACTTTTCTGCACCGAAAAACAAGCACTTTTGTCTTGAGTACCTGAATTTTGTCATCTGATTAAGGTAGGGAATCTGGTTATTAATGGAGGAAATTTATGGTCAGTTGGCAATATAGGAAATCCAATTTGCAGCAGTTCTTTCCTGTATTCGGTACATGGTTTTATTCATGACTTGGATTGTCTATAAAATCTGCCCACCATAATTTGCTGTTTCGTGGGACAAGGAAGAAGGGAAAACTTTAGAAGGGGCAGCCCCCTTTCCCCCCTTCCCCACCAGGGGGATGGATGGACAGGAAAAAAAATGAAAAAAAAAAAGGACCCCAAAAAATGAAAAATCAGTTCTGAGTTCTTCGAACGCAAAATTACTCGGTAAATTTCCAATTTTCTGTTGTCTACATGATACAATTACCGCTTAAAGTTTGTAGTGCACGTAGTGTTTTCCACTAGATTTTTAATTTTTGTCAGTAATTTTTTTTGGTCTGGATTGTAACTTCAAGCATGCGGAGGTTTCAACAATTTGAATCTTGCAGTGAAAAATTGTTATTTCTTGAAGGTGTCTACATTATGAACAAATCCTAAAATTTTTTTTTTTCCCGAAGTAAGAAATCCTAAACTCTTGTTCACGGACCTTGGAGATTCCTGCATAAAGTACAGAAATTTCATCAAGCGTGGTTTTATGCCAACTTTGTAATTGGTAGATACTATAGTGGGGGATTTGGCCGGGTGCATACGTTGGCACTACTTGAATTCTGATTGACCCTACTAAATTCATGTCATGCCGAAAGTATGTATATTTTCTTGGCTGTTGGTTATGTCTTGTGCAGATGAACAGATAATAGTTGGTCTAACATTTAGTTCTTGTACCTCTTGCCACTGATATTTCTTGAGAAAAATTGGCTCATTTAATTGGAGCACTATATTGAGAAAATTGAGTTGTGACTACATCTAATACCCTTGCTTCAAGGGATTCTCGCCAAGTTTGGAAAATTCTTTATGCCGCCTCAGTTGCATCTGAAGCTGCATCTCCCACATAGAGATGAAACAATTGAATGTACAAACAATGGTTATGGACTGTAATCCTACTTAGCTGTATTCCTCTGCTTTCTATGGACAAGTTTTGGTTAGTTTCCGAACTGGTATCTTTTGCAGTACCCTTCCTTTTATTTGCCTTTGTCCTTATTCTTGGTGATTTTACTTGCAGTTTCATGTAATCTGCGCTGGAGAGGTCGAGGTGCTCTAGATTTCCGGTCAAATCCCCTGACACAAACAAATCCTGCAAAATGATACTTGAATGATATTAGGAAAAAGGGGATGACAGGCCTTGATATCTTCATCAAAGGTAATCAATGAGCAATGGCATAGATTCTTGATGAAAATGTGAATGAGACTTGATCAGCTCCTCTGACTTGACCATTAACTTGTAGCAGATCAGACATGAACAAGTTTAATGGCACATGTTAAATCCTGACTAAACACAATCGCTAAATCAAAGAGAATGTTTAGTACTCATTACGTGGCATATATTCGTGATAAAAGTGTGAATGAGACTTGATAAGCTCCTCTGACTTGTCCATTAACTAATCTTGTAGCAGATCAGACATGAACAAGTTTAACTGCACATGTTAAATGATCTCTAGACACAATTGCTAAATGAAAGAGAATATTAGTACTCATTACATGGCCGTTTAGTTTGTAGCTGATTCCTTCTATAAGCATACTGTCAAGTTGTATTGACTAGACAGAGGAGTTTCTGAGCATTATTATATCTGTTCTTAGCATTTAAGAAGCAATCATACCTTTCCAGAAGCATTGCTGAATTACAGGAGTTGACAAGCCTGGAAAACATGAGAAAATCCTTTTGTGAGTCTTTTTTTGCTTTTCACCATTCCAAAGCTTGGTATTGGACCAGTGATTAATTCATATCGGATCAATAATATTCCATTATACCTCTAAATATGCTCGTGACAGATGTCCCAAAGTACACAGTGCGCCTTGGAAGTTGCCATAGCCAGTCTCTTGGAACATCAATTGGATTCATACTGGATTCATGATCAGCAAACATCTGAAAATAATAAATCATGTGACTTGTAATTTTACTTGCTCACGGTGCTCTTGGTCCTGATATTGTATGTACCATCTTTAGATAACACGAAAAAATTTAAGGACTCCATTGGCAGGTATGAACTCCCTACTATGGCATGCAAGATGTTGATGAGCAGGCAACAAGTGTAACTACTCTCTATCAATAGTTTAGTTACCTCATTAACTTGGAAGTATGTTCCATTTAGTGGGAAGCTACCCCTCATTGCTGTCCTGCATGGTATCTGTAAAAAGGCAGGTATCTTTAGCTAAAAGTAGCACTTGAATCACTTCTCTGTTGGTAGTTACTCTGGTTACTTGTCTAGCACATTTTTTTGCTCACCAGAAGTGTGCCTCTCACTGTCTCTGATTTTGCCTCCTTTGTACTATGGCACATAAAACAACTCTTCTCATTGCAAAGTCTGCCTGATCCTTGGAGGCTGCATTTACTTGCAGGAGGTTGAGTTGAATTTGCAGTTTCACCTAATTGAGTGGTTCACAGAATAAAAGATCAAATCATCAATTATGTCAGAGTCAAAAGATGAATTTCAATATCAATTTGGTCTTTTTGAACCCTTGCTTCCTGTTCATCTTGTCCATTTTCTTCTTGTTTTCTATGCATCTTTTTTCTTTGAGATATGTAGGATTAGTTTAGTCTCTTTTCCTGGAGCAGTTTTAGGACCCTCCATCGACATTCTTTATGACAACATGAGTCTAAGTTAAAATTTATTGGTAAGGTACATTCTACCTGGACTCCATATTGCCAAAAGGTATGGACTTGGATCATCACGTTCTCGTCTATCCATCTGAAGGTTTAAGAGAGTGGGTCAATACAAATCAAGTTTAGTTGCTGTGGGCAATATTTAAATGAAGAAACAAAAGAGATAGCCGCTAACCCCTTCTAGTAGTGGATGTGTATCTGGAAGTTCATACCTGCAGCAAATTGGAAGGGTCATACATATTTATATGCAATAAACACCATCAAAGAATTTTTTTTATTCTATTATCTACTAAATTTGAAACAAGAAAGACTCCTTTAACTGTTTAATGAATTTGTCTACTTTGTGCTAATTTATCAGAGTCGGCAGTTGCAATGGCAAGCAGGCAAAAGAGATATAAGCATATGTAGAATCTGATTTTAGGAAGGAAAAAAAAGAAGAAAAAATAAATGTTCTGATGCTTCTAGAGCTAGGTTTTATTTCCCAGAAACTTACACTTGGTGCTCCGTTCGTAGTCGACTCACACTCTTTAATTTTGGTCCAGGAATTGAAGCTGCTGATGGATCCAAAGCAACTAAAGCTCTGGACACATCACCCGGTTGAAGTTCCATATTCTGCTCTTGCAAGACACTCTCCACATTCATTTTTAATTCTTCAAAGCTGAGTTTGATTGTAGGGATTTCATCAGGGTCTTCATAGAACATGTCTTCGATGTCACTTTCTGACACTTCAGAGGATGGTTCTGGTGTGGTTGGTTCTTCAATAATTGGTTCACAGCTGGTCCTAATGTACTGTGATTCCAAACCCTCACTAGTTTCAATAGGAGCCAACAGCATGGGCTTCACTACTATAGATGCATTTCCATTGGCAACAGAAGTAGTTGAACTGTCTATGCTTCTTTCTTCTGGCGCTGGGAGGGCTAGCCTTGCGCTGCAGTCACATTATTGTTTATGTCATATATTAAATGCATGTGAGGACGTGTGCTGGACTATAGAGCATGGTTGAGTGGTTCCTACCCTCCATTGAAGATGCACAACTATTGAGGTATTTCATGTTTCACTTTTCTCTCTAGAAAGTTGCTTAATTAAAGTTCCATAGTAGGTGATCATTATTGGAAACACTTGATAAGTTACCTTGCAAAGGCGCTTGCGAAGTGCCTACATTCTGGTCGTAATGGACATGCATTGCAGTTTGGCTTGGTCTTTGTGCAGAAAACCTATGTCAAATTTATAAGTAGACACTTAGTCTTTGCAAACGTTAAGAGTCTAACAAACTTTGAAACAAATGTTTTAAATACCTTTCCAAATGTAATCATCTGATAGTGTAATTCATACCTGCAGGTTGACCAAAAACTATATTAGTCAAGGGAAATCTGTGGTGGGAAAGTCCCAAGAATGGTTTCATTGATGTGAGGATAATTTCAAAGTGACAAATGTTTCAGGAAAAGATTAAGGAACTTACAAAGTTCTCTGATCCAGCTTACAAAGTCTGGGCCAAAGATATTTCTGGATTGACTCTAGTACGGGGTATCTGCACAAAAACGCAGTTGGTATCCTTCATAATAATTCATTGTGGATATTGATTGGCAGCATCACTTACAGCTCGAGAAGATGCAGCTGCAATGACTCAGGAAGTGGTTGAAGAGGGACCCATCCTAGACGCACAGCAATTCGTCCAACATTTGTATCAACCTAAGAAACCCAAGATCAAGGTTCTTTGTGATAAATTTATAATGCCCTATCAGAAGTAAAATTCATGAATAGTGGATGAATGAACCTTACCGGGAAAGCAATTTGATGGAGTGTTAGTAATCGCACACACTCCACACTCTTCAGTCCCAGACCGCGTATACTCAATAAATAATCCCTGAAGTTTGGTACAATTGAGAAAGCAAGAAAACATGATTGTCTATATCAATTACTACCAAATACTGAAGCTATCAGGATGAATATTGGTCCTTGTCATTCTGTGCTCTTAGTGGATTCTTTGAAGAACTTACTTTGCTTGGTCTGCTGGAACATCCCTCAACCATTCCAGGTCAATGCTGCCATGTTCTGTGACCAGTCTATTGAGGAAATCCTGCAGCATATGGACACAATATCGTCATTGTAAATGTATCAATTCTAATCAAGTAAGCTACAAGAATACATTGGGTTTTATCCCTACCTTGATTCTCTCAGCTAGCATGTTGTTCATTCCTCTTTCCCTGATAGTCTCAGAAATTTTCTGAACATCAGCATTTTGTAGAGCTTCATAGTCCAGCGAGTCCATGGTGTCCTTGTTTCTTTCTTTTTTTCCACCCTTTGACAATACCTTCTTTCTCAAGCTATCCCAATCAAATGACTTTGTCTTTTCTAGTTCTTGCTTTTTCTTTCTTGCATTTGAGCTCTTAGTGCCAATACTGCCGAGCAGCTCACTGGAAGAACCTAAATGGCCTGCAACATTGATACGCAACTAAGTTCCCTATCGCTGCAAATATCAAAAGGTACTGAATGAAAAATTTTTAAAAAAAAAGGCATCAGGAGGTCTATAAACTTTACCAGTTTGCCTTTGGGCATCTGCTTCACCAGGGACTTTGGGCTCCATCATAGACCTACCATCCAGCTCAAAGCTCTTGGATGCTTCTACTTGGTTACTGCTGATGGATTGTTGGCTACTTAAAAAGTGAGATCCTGGTTGCAAATCATCTTTATGTTGCTGGTTCTGGGATACAGTTTGGTCTATTGCTATTGCATGCTTAGTTACACTTCCTGTTTCTTGGATAGTTGAACTGCTTGTTCTTCCTTCCGCACCTCCCATCTTCTTGGGTAAATGGGCCACACCTGCATTATTGGCGATTTCAACCGATCTGTGGGGAAAAGAAGACATGCTTTTTTGTCCCAAAGATCCAACTGAGCAAGGTCCATGAACCCCAGCAACTGATGCCTTGTTCAACCAAGGACCACTAGAAGAAGAAAATGTTCTTTGCTGATACAGGACATCAGAAATTAAAGGGTTAGCATGCGCTTTCTTGCCATCATTTGAACTAGGGTATTGCGTGATGCATGGTGGATTTTCTTGTTGCTGGTACACAGGCATGGAGCTCTGATCCAGAAATGAATTTGTAATTCCATGACATTGATATTGCTTGAACTTAGAAGCTCTTTCGGTTTTAGGAACAGTTCCTGAACTACAATTCTTGTTGGAGTTGCACCTGATTTTTTGATCTTCGACTTCTGACTCTGAACTGGATCGTATATCTTCAGTGGCTTGAAGAAAAGAGTCACAAGAATTTTGTGAAGAAACCACCTCTTCCTCTGTTCCACTGGTATTGTCATTTGCCAAATGACTTACTGTTTCTGAAATGAGATTATCTGATCTTCGTTCAGAAGACTCGCTTAATGTCATGGAGTTTCGCTTGTAAAGTGGCTGGCTAAACATTCTCCCATGATATGTGATGGTGCCATCTGGATCTATTATTTGAACCTCTGGTTCTTCAATCCAAGTAATTGCCCCATTCTGACAGCAATTTGCATTGAAGGTTGTTAATGGTAGAGGGAATTTGGCTGCTAGAGACATGAAAGCCGAGCTGCAGAAGATGACAAGGAATTATTGTTCATGGCACTTGTCTCTGGTTTTGGTATTGGTGTCTCAGATTTTATTAGGATGTCAGCTTACCTAGAAAGATGGTCTGAAACATTCTGTGTGAGGAATACACCAATCACCGAATCAACAACTGATCCTTTCCATTGTGAGAAGCGCCGATCTCCTGTGAAAGAAATGCTTTTGTCTCATGTCTTATGACCATAACTTTGCAGATGAGCAAGGTAAATCATGTTTTTGTCTTTGAATAATGCAACATTTCTATGATATGACAAGGAACACCAAAAAGCTTGTTAAGTTTAAAGATGTTGAAATGCACCCATTAATACAACATACAGTATCGCATAAATTGGTGTCCCTGTACACTACAGGTATCTATTGGATAAATGCTCCCTGTTGGCCTAATATGTGGTGACAAGTCTTCTAACCTCAATTGAGCTATGTCAAGTAAAATGCAAAAACAATTGGATGCTTGAAGGTGGTAATATCAGTTACAGCCTTTTTCTTGTTCCTTCTGTTAATCTTCTTGTTGAAGTCAATTTTATCTTGCCAGTATTTTGCATTGGCACCTCTTAAATATCATATTTGAAACATTTTAAGTTTCTATGACTAACGAGCTTTAGTTCTATGCTACAGCATCTGGCTATGATTAAAGAACCATTTGAAGAAACGAGTGGAGAATGAAAGTGACTTATTGTACTTAGCAGTTAAGATATATACGTATGATCTCAGAGCATAGTTTTTCAAAGACTTTGATACCTTGAACAAGATGCATTCGCGCTATGAAGGAGTCTACTCGACCACGGACCACTTGCCTTTCGTTTGCCCACCATTTTTCCTTTTCCATGTCCGTTGGTTCCGTGCTTTCACTTCCAGCCTTTCCCATTAGCAGGTTCCAAACTCTATTTGTTTCTGGGTCAAGATCAACTTTGGGCCGTGGCCTGCGCCTTTTTATAGGATCTTCAAAGCTAACAATTGCACCATCTCCTTTGTAAGGAACAATAGCATTTTGCTCTTTTGCAACTACATTGCCACTGTTACTGATTTCTAGCGCTTCCAATAGGTGAGTAATTTCCTCAACTGCAGCTGCATAATTCTGTTCTTCCTTTTGGCCTACACCAGATACCACAGACGTCTGCTATTTAGAGTTAAATATTTATAAATTATTGGAAATATGTGCAGCTCATTAAAATAGCTTAATACCTTTTGCTTTCCTGGAGGAACGCTGAGAACCTATCTCTTCCTTATTCTCTTCTGGATGCACCTTTTTCTTCCTGAATGCTTGGATGGAAGATGTAATTACCCCAGTCTGTTTTTTCATTGAGGAAGCAACTGGAGAAGTTCTAGTTTCATCTCCTGGAGTTCTGAAGACTCCTTGCGTTGGATGCAGAAGACAGTCGGTTGTGTTGCTTGCGGTCTTTTCTTGAAACTTGGGTCTTATATTCAAAAGTCTAAGACATACACTTGACTGAGATTCTTCCTCCTGGAAACCATTAGCAACTGCTGTGTTAGTATTGCATCCATCACTGGCAATCCCATTGCAACCACTGTCTTGTTTCTGGAAACTTTTCTGCATTTCAAGGTCAGGATTTGGGAGTCTACCAAATTGACACGATGAAGAACAGCTTGCATGGGTATAGTTGCTGCCTCTAGATTCAACTTGTCTTGAACAATCTTGAACAGATTTCACAGAGGGAGAAATGCTGGATGCAACTCCAAGACATTCATTTTCTAATTTCTTCCTCTTCTGAAGTTCCAAAGTACCCAAGCCATTTTTGCTGCTATCCTTCTTCTGCTTGCTAATCTTTGATATATCTTGACTCAAAAGTTGAGAATGCATTGTGTCAACTAATTGGGGATTCGTCATCTCAGAAATATGGCAGTAATCTCTTTTGGATCCTCTAGTCTCGTAGATCTGTGATGTATCCTTGAGAGATGTAGTTAATGTCTGCCACATCAGCTGCCGAGCTGCATCAAACTTAGCTGAAGCAGTATTTTCTTGAAGGATCATCTGGCCTGTTCCATCTCCAAGTTTGTGTTGATGGCCTTGACTGTGCCCAGACTCGTCATTGTTTTGGCCTGCAGCATTTTGCAGGTTTAGACTCCTTGCAATGACATTTAGAGTATGATCCCTTGCAGCAGGTGACGATGCTTCAGGGAAAAGAAGCAATGATTTCTCAGCAGGTTTTTGATTGTTGGAATTAGTCAGATTAGATATGCTTTTGCCATGTTGGTTTTCTGGACTGCATCCAATTTGTTGCCTTTCCTTTGCAGATGACATTCCTGATACTGGGTCGCATCCTGCAGACCATGCTGTCTCTTGACAAGTTAAGTTCAAATCAAAAGGCTTGCTCTTAAGAAGTGCATCTGTCTGGTTGTGACCTGTCCAGTTCTGACTTTGGTTATGCATCTTGTCTTCTAAGTCGAAGTTCAGCACTCTACGGCATGATTTTGCTGCAGAACTTACACCAGAATCCTCAATGCCATTTGATACATTTTCCGTTCCCGAATTTGAGGCATCAGTTCCTTTTCTGCGCACATACCTCCTTTTTCCTGATGGATTTTCACTGGAGGTATTAGCTTTTGAGGCAGTAGGCTTTGGGGTCCTTTTGGGTTTTTTTTCAACTACCACCTTTGGCCGGTGCTTTTTCCTTCTGGGGGGTCTCTGCTGGGGTGTCTTGTTCAGGTCAATACCTCCATGAACATTATCTTCAGAAATACCCTTTTCCGTCAGTATCTTTGAATTGGAAGCAGAAGGCGATGTTATCACATTGTGCAAAAGTCCATTGCAGTAGCTACCAACTTCAGTATCTGTCGATATCATCTCGTGCTTGTCTTTTCCTTGTAGTAAGCTCTCATCTACTGAGAAATTCTGTATATGAGACTGTTGGTGGTTTTTCAAATTTCCCTGATCCGGAGTGACTGGTGCAAAATGAAAGCAACTGGTTGCACGTGATGATGCAGCAGTATCTTCTCTTGGTGGTGAGTTCAAGTTGCATATGGGCCGGTAAGGGACTGGAAATCCATCTGTGAGATTATATGATTTAGTCCATCCCTTAGATGATTCCCAAGTCCATTCATTGGTGACTTTGAATCATATGTGCCATTGTTATGGTAATTGTCTTTTTGAAAAATGAAATAAAGATTTCTGTTCTAAACAATGTTAAAGTGCATGCTTAGGTGATGCCTTTTTATTTATTCATTTTTCCTTCAATAAAATTGTCAGCTTTTTGCAAATGTAAGATAAGATAAGATTAATATACTACTGAACAACCAAAACAATCTACTCTCTTTTGTTCTTTTATTTTCCGTGAATCTCTTCACAATAGAAAATGATCTTTTTTTATTCTTTATTTTTTATAATTAAAAGGCCAATTTCTATATTAGTTGGGCAAAAGTAGTTGCTGCAGCAATAAGAAATAAATATATTGGTAGAAAGTCAATATGTGATTTTGTTTTCTGAAATTCATGAAACTGTATCTTGATCGCTTGTCAGAAAAAGTATGTAGAATTATGTCGTATGACCAGGCAGTTAATTTGTTTCCATTACATTTACTAAAATTCTGAAATGATTCAGTTACTAACCACTTGGCATCTGTTGTAGGCTGGAACTCATTAACCCCCGGTTTGGTGGAAGGGCGCTCTTTTGCTGCAGGAGCATTGAGTTAACAGATGGATAGTTTGTCCACTTGTTTTGATTTGGAGGATCTGAACTGGTAAAGGGGAACTTGTCTGTGCCATGAATGCTTCTGCTTGGAGTTCCATCAATAGGGAGAATGGCTGGCGCATTCTTGATCCCGAGCAACTGCATCAAAGAACTATTATTCCTAGCAGGAATATCTTTGGCCATATTTTGTGTATAAGAACCAGCATTCTGATTGAAGCATCCATTGGTCCTGACTGCAGCACCATCCTGTATGTTATGCTCACCACGACCCAGCAAACCTGCACCATTGAAATTCTGAAGTGCCTCATTTTTTGGTGTCTCTTGTAAAACTCCACTGTAGATTCCAAGCAATTCCAACCAGTTGTTGCCCTCTACTTGATCACCCTGCATTTCACAAGCAATTGGATAAGTTGTTTGTTTAACTGCCTTTTCTGAGGAAAATCGATTCTGAATTCCAAGCTGTTCCTGCCAATTTGTGGCCTTTGTCAGGCTCCCTTGCATTTCAGCCAGAACAGTATTCCGCATCTGCATTGCTGGCTTTTCTGGAGTCACAGGAATACAAGGATCCCCATTGTTGATGACTCCATTCTCTTGGGGAATCAGAAAACCCTTCCCCAAGTCCATCTTGAAAATTGACAAACCGCGAAAAGTTTTGAAACTTCGCCCTATTTGTACTCCAATGTATGAATTTCTAGCATCAAAATTTTACTTTTGACTGTCAAGAATGTGAAAATTTCTCAGTAAAATCACTAGATTGTTGTGATTTTTTCTGCCAACCTCGTCCAGTCATGTGTTCACTGTCCGAGTGTCTGAACCCAACCTGCCAAATCAGCCACTAACATTCTCAGAACCTAAGTAATCTCACCTAACATGAAAAACACATGTTAAACATTTGACTCAATTAAACATGCAAACGAACGCTAATTTCTCTTTTGTTTTTCCAAAGAAAAAATCCATAATAAATGACTGCAAATTCAGTTTCCAGACTCTTTTTTTTTTTTGCAGAAACCCACACAAAGGGGGAAAAAAGAAGGAAAACAGGAAAGAAACAAGAAAGCGATATGTCCCATTTCTCAATTTGTAACTAATTTGCTAGCAAAATAAAAAGGAAAGCAAAGCAAACAAGAAAGACAATGAGAATGAAGAATCAATCAAGGCAAGCAAATCAGAGATCATGGAAATTTCAAAAAAATTCAATACCAAATTCAAAATGGGATATCAATGAAATGCAGCAAAAAGGAATAAAACCCGGCAAACAATCTGGATAAAGAATCTTTTCAGGTGATTAATTGGTAAATGCAATTCACCTATTTAAGTGGGTTCTTTAATCATTTCACACCATATATGAAGAAGAAAAGCATGAGGAAATTAAGCTAAAAATGCAGCAGAGCAAAATTAGGAAACATTTATCAGGTGGAGCTTAGCTAACCGATCTCAAGCAGAGATATGTTGCCCCCAGTGACGCGCGCTGGGAACGAGTCAATGCCGGAGAGCTAAGTCCAGTCAGTCTTTCTTTCGTTAAAACTGAAGATACTAAAAACAAACGCAAATGAGAGAGAGAAACCTTGGTAGGAAACAAACTAACAGCTGACTGCACTTTATCGTTTAAAAGTTAAAAACACCACCCAACTGTGTGTGCTCACGGAGGCTGCTAAGTCCGGTTTTTATAACCGGGCACATCCCTTGGGTGATTTTACTGAATCAGTATTTTGGGAAACTGAATTTATGACAAAATTTCAAATTTATATAAAATGGGATGTTATTAAGTCTAGGGCATATTTTTCGCGGGAAAATCATCGTTCCATCGTGATATTGTAGGTTACTTACTCGTTTTATTGTTTCACGGTTCTAATATTCATTGAATTGACAATTGTATAAAGCCAAAATTTAGTATACTAAGCACATCGTCTTAGATTGTTTCTCTATATTTATAGATAAATATTGACAATCCACTTATCATATAACAATTTTTTAAATTGAAGCAATTATATTATTCTCAACTGTTATGTCTTGTAGACTATGTTGTTTGTGATTGTGACAATGAAAAACAAAATGATAAAAGCGATTGTATCAATTATAAATAATTTGCCATTTTGAAAGGATTGTGTCAATTGGTGTGTTAAGTCAGGTTTTTGTAACGGGGGCACATCCCTTTAGTAATTTTACTGAATCGATATTTTGGGAAACTCAATTTATGACGAGATTTCAAATTTATGTAAAATGGGATGTAATTAATTCTAGGGCATATTTCTCGTGGGAAAATCATCGTTCCATCGTCATATTGTAAGTTACTTACTTATTTCATTATTTGACGGTTCAGATGTTCATTGAACTGATAATTGTATAAGGCCAAAACTTAGTACTAGACACGATATCTTATATTGTTTCTGCATATTTATAGTCATATTATAAATTCCTTACTCGTTTCATTGTTTGGCGGTTCAGATGTTCATTGAATTGATAATTGTATAAAGCCAAAACCTAGTACTAAACACAATATCTTATATTGTTCATATTTATAGATAAGTATTGACAGTTCACTTACCATACAACAATTTTTTAAATTGGAGAAATTATATTATTCTGAGCTATTATCTCTTGTGGACTATGTTGTTTGTGTAATTGTGATAACGAGAAACAGAATGATAAATGCTTTTGTATCAATTATAAATAATTTGCTATTTTGAAAGGATTGTGTTAATTGGATATAAGAAAGTTATGAACTAGATTTACGTATTTATAAGTTAGATATCCCGTAAAAAATAGGATATGATGATTGCCATCTATTTGTTTGGTCGATTATTAATTTGTTTCGCTATTTAGATTTATTGAAAATATATTGATGAACTCACTATTTGGTATTGTTTTCATTGTTATAACTATCAAACATTCACTACACAAAAAAAAGGAGAGAATTATAAAATAAATTTTATAATGCTTGTATAACAATGAATATTGAAGTAGCATATACATGAACACATCAATATTGAGCATCTTATTAGAGTTATATCAATGCTAAGTGGCTATAGGTCAGTACAAGGATTAGAAAAAAATTATTTACTCATATTTTTACTATGTTAAAAATATATGTTGTAAATGAGGTAAATGCCTAATATGTTAACTGTGCATGCAACGAATGTATTGATAAACAAAGGGCGTGCTTGATAAAACTGAAATCTAAAATCTAACTTCTGAAATATGAATTTGTTAAATTACTGAATTGTTAAGTGATAAAATCTTAACATTTGAGCAAACATTTGAGCATATTCTACATTAAATTATAAGTGAACAATTTATTACTAATTATTTTTAATAAATTTTGCATAAACAAGTTTATTCAGACCCGCATAATTGATTACTACGGTCTATTTTTTATTATCACACATTAGTTACTTATTGGTAGAAACTTTTGGCAGTATTTACAGTATAGTCATCTAGAGAATATGAACACTATTACTGCATGAAGATTCTTCTATTAAAATAAAATAATCTGCATGAAGATTTTAAGGAAACCATTTTGGCTGATTGAATTTGAAGACACAAAAAAACATGGCTCACTAAGAGAAGGCCTCGTACCTCTTACTCACATTGCTACGGAAGGGCATTTTCGTCCTGTAGGAGTGCCCCAAATTCACCCTTCGGGAGTGGTTAAATAACTTTGCCAACTGCCTTGTGTTGAAAGAGACTTAACAGTTAACGCTACTACCAAGGATACAAGTAACGTCATTTTAGTCCGCCTAACATTTAAGAGTTTTCCAAAGTATTGACCAAAGATACGAGTGAAATTATAATTAAGAGTTTTTGAAATATCGAATTAACAAATTCAATTAAAAAAATACTAAATGAGAGATATAAACTGTTTCATAGTCAGCATTATTACTATTAACTCATCCTAGGCATTCCTAATAAGGGCGGGCGCCTCCAAGATTCAAAAGGTGTAAAAATTAAGAAAAATAAAAAATTATTTTTCTTTTTTTTTATAATAACAATTATTTTTCTTCGTTGCCGAATATTCTTATGCACTATACAGTCATAAAATTAGACACACTGCAGCGCCTATGTAAATTATGGTGGACTCTCCTTACATTTATTCACAATTACAGGAACATTATTTTTTTTAATTACACTAAAAGTAACTCTCATCAAACTTACCACATGAATTAAATTTTAAAATTAATCTTATATACGTTGATAGTATATATACCATCATTATTAAATGCATGATATATATATATAATTTAAATTTTAAATACAAATTTTATTTATTAGTTATTATATATTCAATGATGATAATTTATACACTGTTAGTGTACAAAAAATTAATCAAAAAATTATGATGTCAAAAAACAAAGGAAAATCTCAAAGAATTACAATAATAATCGTGGGACATCTGTAGGTCATTAGTACCCGTACAGCCGTACTGCAGAGATTTCAGTAAACAAAAAAATAAATAAAGAAAACAGGTCCAGATGGACCAGAAACCGGACCCTATTTGTTACCGGGGCGGCAGGTTAGACAAAGCTAGAGTGCTCCGTTACCGTTAGTAGTATCCCCGTTTTAGTTATGTAGCGCCAATGGTGGGGCCGGGAGTGGGGACATGGACATTTATTCAAAGCATTGTGGCCGTGACAAATGAATAAAAAGTAAAAACACCACCCAATGGCGAGGAAAAACGCTCAACCGCACGTCTGTTAGGGCACTGAAACATATGTTACATGTGACTGTGTTTGGATGTTTTTGGGATTTGGAGTGTGATACACATGAGCACATAGGTTTTATAGGTACTCCATAGTTTTGAAATTGTCCTGATTTTTTCCTTCAAAAAAAATATCTTGATTTTAGTAGTTAGTACCAAATATTCACAAAGATTTAGAAATATAAACTAATAATATGTAATTTTCACAATAATTAGAAAACTTAGGAACTTCAGTAATATTTGATAATTGGAATTGATATTTAGAATAGTAAGTCATTACTTTTTCAAGTGTATATAGTATTTATAATTCGGAGGGTTTCAAATTTCAAAGTTATTATTTTGAGCCAAACTGAGTACACGAATAAAAATTATTGGTTAGAGAAGGACAAAGGAAACTCTCTGTTTGATGAATTGTAAGAAGAGTGACTAATTTCTTCTATCATGTGATATTGATGCATGAAAGAAACTACAGGTTTAGAAGTCAAGGAAAATAATTATTCACAATGGAATAATTACTACAAAAGTCAAATGTAACTAATAGTAATTACTAGAATGAACAGTATGTTATACCTATATTTAAATGTAACTTCATGATTGATTGCCTAAATCTTTGTGCTATATAAATGTGTTTCAAGGTCTTTAAGAATGAGTGATTTCGTACATATTTATTTTTATTTCCTCCATCCCATAAAAATATACTTCATCCGTCCCACTTTGATAGTCCTATTTTCCTTTTTCGTCTGTCCCAAATTGTAGTCTACTTTCCAATTGAAGAATGTAGTTGTATTTTAATTTTTCTAAAATATCCTTATTCAATGTAAGTTGTTGTTACTATAAACTTACCCTATTTAACGAGAATTGATTCTTTTTTTACCATCAATTCAAGTTCCCATAAAGTTGTACTCTAATTAATGTGAGGGTATTTTAGAAAAATAGTTACCTAAATTGATTGTTCCAACAAAGTTAACTACTTTCTCTTAAACTGTGTGAAAAAAGAACTAGAACTATCAAAGTGGGACGGAGGGAGTACTCACTTTCCTTTTGTGTTTGTCTCTAATTATAGGCCTGCTTACTTTTTTAAAGAATAGTTAGTTTATCAATTTACTACCATGCCCATATTTAATGCACATCTTTATCAACAAATAAATCATTTTATTGGTGAACAATTCTGGGAATAATAAATACTACACCAAAACTCGTATTAATGGAAGGGTATATGAGGAAAAAAACACAGAAAAGAATATGATGGAGCATAATTGTTCCAAAACAAAAGAAAAAAAACTTAATGAAATGGATAATCTTTCCTACTTTAGTATCATATAAGAAATGACACTCAAGGCAAAAGCGTTACATTTGTCAAAGATCTTTGTAGCCCTGGATTATGCTATGTCGTGCAAGTAGTGACTACATTTAATCTTTTTTTTTTTTTTTTTGCAACGATAACATTTGTATAATCTAATCTATCATACTCTACAGGAATGGGGAGTCTAAAAAGACTCTATCAGGGATTAGCAAGTTTACAGAGTCGACTAGACTAAAAGGGTGTTCTGACATCTCCTTTAGATATTTTCACTACAAATGGAGTTTGAACCCTCGACCTACAATCTAAAGAGTGATTTACTCTCTTTTTTATGGCTACTGAATCAAAGCTCGGTGGTTTAGTGCCTACATTTTACTGGTTGGTGCATTTTTATTGGTTGGGCTTTTTTCTTTAAAATGTCTTTTCCAATTAAATTGATTCCATATAATTATCATTATTACTGTCATCATTCATTTCCTTTTCTCAAAGAAAAAGTATGTACTTTTCTGATTCTTATACATTAATCTTTTAATGCTTGCCTTCTTGAGAGAGAGAGAGGCAAAAAAATTACTTCTCTTAGTTGTTTCATTTATGACCATTTCTTGAAAAAAAGTGACTAGACAATAGTGAAATTATTTGCAAC